AAGCAGATGGATGGGGATTAAAGCCCCCAGCTGTGCTGTCACCTGAGCAAGTGACATTGGGCAGGCCATCCTGGGGTGCCAGAGCTGTCCCTGGCTGGTCTTGGCACAAGGATTTGTCCCGGAGGGGGCAGCAGCTCCTCTCACCAGGCACTATTTGGGGAGCAGATGCCAGCTCCAAACTGCATCCCAAATCCTCACAGGGACAAGGAACACACAACTGCTGGAAGCAAAGTGCCAGGCTCAACCCTCCCTGTCACCTCCATGGCATGACAGGAGCTGGTGGCCTAGCAGAAATGATCAGCAGCTCCTAAATCAACTTTCCAGGCATTTTGGGCTCTACATTTTACTGGACTGCCTCTCTCTCGTTTGTATTTACTGCCCCATTGGAAGATTTTTGGGGAGAAAACAAGGATGCTGCCAGCACAGCCTGAGAACCAGTGGTCCCTGTTTTGCCATGGGCTCCCACCACCAAATTCCATCCCTTTTCCACTGCCCAGCAGGATACAGAGATGGCCCTGGCTACTCAGTTTTTTAGAGATGAGCACCAACACCACCAGCCAGAACATCACGGAGGGCACAGCTCTGGATGCCCCAGAGGACATCCAGGAGGAGTGGGGGCACACGGAGCCTCTCTGGGGGCTCCAGCACCCAGCCTGAGTGATGCCAAAAGGAAAGAACCTGGGAAATCCCGCAGAAATGGGACACTCCTAAATTACCCCGTTTTCTTCTTCCCATCACTGCGACCCGCAGCGGGCTCGGTCCCTGCGCAGGGGACCGCAATGGGGACTTCCCGCATCCGTGCGATCCCGCAAACTCCCTGCCCTTCTCCGCAGCCGTGCGGGTAATCGGGGTAGGGCTCGGGACCTGCCCCTGCCTTTCCGCCGCTCGGTGCCGGTGCCTTCCCGCTGTGCTCTCACAGAGGATGCCCGGTACAGGACGCTATGCTGCCGCAGGTCCCTGTCCATCCCACGGGGGATGCCGGTATCTGTCCCCCAGCCGATGCCTGCCCACCCACGAGAGATGCCGGTACCTGTTCCCCAGCCGGTCCCTGCCCTCCTACAGGGGATGCCGGTGTCACCATCCGTCCCCCGGCCGGTCCCTGCCCTCCCACGGGGGATGCCGGTGTCACTATCTGACCCCCAGCCGGTCCCTGCCCTCCCACGGGGGATGCCGGTGCCGGTACCTGTTTCCCGGCCGGTCCCGGTACAGACTCCGTGTCCGCGCTCCCGCTCCCGGTGCCGCGCCCGCGATTTCTCCGCGCTCATCCTTTAAAGCAGCGCGATTATTCTGCCACTCCCACCGCCACGCCCCTCCCCGCTTCACCAATCAGCGGCTCCTCCCCGCTCCCGCCCTACCCAATGAGGAGGCGGGGCCGTGCGGAGCCGACCAATGAGAGGCGTCCCGGCGGGGCGCGAGCCGCAGTTTCTCTTAAAGCACGGCTTTCCCCGAAATCAGCTGACCGGGAGGGGCGGGGCCTGGACGGGAGGGGCGGGGCCTGGGCGGGAGGGGGGCGTGGTTAACTCGCCCCTGTCCCGGGTCTGCCCCGGGCCGGTGCGGTCCCGTCGTTCCCAGTCCCAAATTAATCCATTCCCGGTTCTAACCCAATTTCCCCAGTACCCGAGCAATCTGCCCAGGCCAGACTGGTCACTCTCCAGTCCCAGGTCATTCAATTCCCAATCCCAAATCTGCCTTCCCAGTCTCAGACTAGTGTCCCCAGTCCCAGCTCAATCCATTCCCAGTCTCAGACCAATATTCCCAGTCCCAGATCAATCCATCCTCAGCCCATGGTCAGTATATTCCCAAATAAACCTTCCCAGTTGCAGACCAGTCTCCTCAGTTCCAGATCAATCCAGTCCCAGATCAGTTTCCCCAGTCCCAGATCAGTTTCCCCAGTCCCAGGTCAGTTTCCCCAATTCCAGATCAGTTTCCCCAGTCTGAGACTGGTCACTCTCCAGACCCAGGTCATTCTATCCCCAATCCCAAATCAGCCTTCCCAGTCTCAGGCCAGTGTTCCCAGTCCCAGCTCAGTCCATTCCCAGTCTCAGGCCAGTGTCCCCAGTCCCAGCTCAGGCCACTTTCCCCAGTCCCAGATTAGTTAATCTCCAGTCCCAGTTTAGTCGCTTTCCAGGCAGTTCCCAGCTCCTTTCTGGATCAACCCCAGCCCTGGATCATTCCCTCTCTCCTGCCCCAGCAACTCCCACTGTTCCCAGTCCACATTTGGTGTCCTGACTGTACCCCAGCCCAGCCAAATCCAGCCAGGGCCACCAGAGCATAAAGGACCATCTGCAGCCTGACTTCAGAGGGGTTTTTTTTGGGATTACCAGATTACACACACATTTCTTGGAAGAAAACCATAATTACTCCCACGTGGGTAATACAGAGAAATGGGAAATGTATGGAGCTGCACAGATGGTTTAATAAAAATAACGCTCTGAGGTGCACAACCTTGCCTGTCATTTCTAATAAAGAATGGCTGGAATGGTCCTTGTTTTTAAACACCCCACTGATCCTCATTGGATCCCCCCCCAGGAGATTTGGGGTGAGCCAAAAACACCTCCTGCAATCAGATACAGCCAGGAGGATTTATTCTCTTTTTTGACCAAAACCACAATTTTAAGCTTTGCAGGGGCTTTGCATCATTACCTCCTCCTGCTAGACAGAGACCTTCCTGTCAAAAACTCTTTATTTTGTTAAAATTCTGGAAATTGTGATATTTTAAACAGTCTGCAGAAAACCAAACTCTCCATCCCCTCTGGAGACCAAAGACCTGGAGATTCACTGCAATGGAGTGAGGTGACTTTATAATTCCCAGCTTCATTTTGGCTCTACAGCCTGGAAAGGTAAATCCAAATTCCCTGGGGCGAGGAGGATCCCTGTGGGGAGGATAAAAATTAAACCCACTAAAATGGGGTTTCAGGTTTGAAATAGGCTGGGAGATGCCCCACGGTCCTGTTTACTCCTGGGAAGGGAAGATAAGAACACCAGGAATGTTTGGGGAACAATTTTCCCGTGTTAGCAGCACCCTGGGGAAGCTCAGCCATGCTTCAGCAGAGCCGTTTTCCCTGTGCCAGAGGCACCAGAATTTCGGGAAGGCTGATGTGGAACAGCAGAACCAAGCAGCCAAGCATGAGGTGCTCTTGGCAATATCCAAAAAAGTGCAAATCAGCCCAGTTTACCTGTTCAGGGTTTGCCTCCCAGGCCCCAGAATTCCTAAAGCCACCTCAGGTCCCACTGGTGGAGGCCAGAGTGGAAAAATAGATATATTCACCCGGGATAGCCCTCAAATCCAGGGAGATTTGGGTTAGGAGGAGCTTTTTGAGCACTGTGATGTCAGGCATGGAGGGTGCTGCTGCTCCGGGGGAGCATTCCCTGTGATTCCCCAAAGCTGGGGGTTTTCTCGGGTTTTGCTTTGGTGCTGTGGTTCCCTGGGGAATGTTTGAAGCCCTGGATGGCCGGGAGGGGCGGGGCTGTGGAGGTTATCACACCTCCTGCAAATCTAATCTCTGCTTATCACCCATCTCCAATGACTTCCTATTAACTCCCACTTTCTTCTCTTTTCTCTTCCTGCGTGCAAGTTCCATTTTTCTGCTTCCTAAAATGAAAAGAGAGGCTTTAAATCCAATATTGATCCCGTTTGCTCAGCCCACTCCATCAACAGCCTCGATCTCATTAATTGCTTTCCCATTAACTCCATGTGGAACAACAGCCACAGGGACCCTTTTCTCCATCTAAAAAAATGGGAAAAAACTGCACTTTTTCTGCCCTGGAATTCTATACATCATGGCTAAACACTGAATATTTAAAACTTTTTGTTTTGCTGGTGGTTGTCATCAAGAAAATGGGAAGCAGGGCACTCATTTCAGTCCATCTCTGTATTCCCATCAGGAACACCACAAATCAAGTCCAGGCACCCTTGTGATTTTAATCACTCTCTTCTTTATTAGAAGCTGAGCGAGTCACCCCTGGTGCTGTCACACGATGAGTACCCAGAAATCTTCATCAAGAGAATTCCTAGAAGTGTTTTTAATCCCTTTCTTCTTAGAAAGAATTGCAGAACAGACATTTTTGAGTGGACAAACAAGGTCTTTATAGTAAAAGGCCGAGATGGCACGGAAGGGTTGAAGGCTTCCATGCAGAAGGGCTGAATCCATGGGATAGGACCCTCCTTGTAAGGCAGATGAGGGGGATTCCTGCCAAAGAACGCTCTGGAAAAGCACAATCCAAGTTTGGGATGAAAAACTGGACATGGCCACGGGTTTTAGGTATTAAAAAAGCTTTTGTAGAGAGACAGAGTTAAATTGGTCCATGAGTTGAGTGAATCCAACCAAGCTTTTGGCTTCTTTGGCAAGCAGGGACATTCAGATGGGGCTCAGGAAAAACCCAAACCCACTCTGGCTCCAGGGATGGAGGCAGTGGGACAGGATGGATGGCACTGCTGGATTTTCCCCCTCCCTGGGCTTGGGATAAGGAAAATGCCAGATATTCACCTGCCAAGGACAGGCTGCACTGGGAAACTCCATGCACAGCGAGGGCCAGCCCCAAAACACCTCCAGCCCCTCTCCCCATCCCACTGGGTGCCAGCCGAGGCTCAGCAGCACCCCCACATCCCAGGATTCACCCCCTCCTTCCTCAGGGAAGCAGAGGACAAGGTGGCCTCTCTCCATCTCATCCCACCTTGCTTTTCCAAGGTCTGCATCAGCTTTTGTGTGTGCCCTGCCAGCCCAGATATTGTCATGAGGAGAGAGGGACGGGGCTGGCTGCTGCTCTGAGGGTGGAAAAGTGGCTGTAATCCTTTGGGAATGGGGGAATGGGACAGAGCAGGATGCTGTCACCCATTCACTGGAGCTGGCAGCTGACAGAGGGGTCTGTGAGTCCTGTCCCCCCACTCCAACCCTGGTGCTGGCAGATTTCTGCCCTAGACATGAATCCCTGGAGGTGCTTGGCAAAGGGAAAACTGAGTTTTCCAAGCCCCAGGGCCTGCCTGGGAACAGCCTGGCTGCTTATCTGTTCATCCATCTGCTGCCACCACCGGTGCCACCTGCGTGGCAGGGAGGAGGGAAGGTGGGAGCAGGGGAGCGGAGCCAGGAGCAATCCCTGCTCCCCAGCTGCTGCTGGCCCAGCAAGTGCAGCAGCTCCTCCTGGTCCTGGAAAGGGTTCCTGCCGTAATCCCGGCGGATCCAGGCACGGTACTGCCAGGAAAAAGCCAAAAAAGGTTGTCAGGGTGACCTGAAAAACTGAGAAACCCCAAAGAGAGAGAGAGCAGGGATGCAACAGCTCTGGTGGAAAGCAGCGAGCAAAGCAATTCTTGCTGCATCCCCAGCAAGGCTGGGGGATCCCCAGGCACATCCAGCATGCAGGAAAGTCCCAATCCCACAGGAGCTCACACTCAGCACACCACAGATTCAGTGGTTCCCCCATCCCAGCACTCCCCACAGTCCCTGGCTGCAGCAGGGACAACACCTTTATTTATTTTTCCTTGCCAAGAAGCTGCTGCTGCTCCTCATGTGCCTGAATTCCCGTGAGGAATACTTCCCAAGGTGTTTATTTTTTCCCCACAGGTAGCAAGGCCGAGTTGGTCCGTGCAAGGTGGGGTTTGTAGTCAGAGCACCTCTCTCACCATTGGGAGGCTGTGGGGAACCTCTCCTCCCACTTATCCCCATTATTCCGGAGGCAGGAGCATCCTGGTGGCCAGGGGCCAGCTGGCATCAGGCTGAGGCCCGGGAGCAAGGGATGATCCAGAGAAACTGTTCCCGTTACTGCTGGGATGAGGAAACAGCCACTCCCAAATTGCAGCGCCCAGGAATGTGGGCAGGAAAGGGCAGCTCTGCCAGGATTCACCATCCCGGCTGCCCAGGGCTCACAGGGAACAGCCAGAACTCCCTGAGGAGCTGGGAACCAGCTGCTCCAGCAAGGAATTACTGGGATGAGTGGTAGGAGCAGAGCCAGCAACATCAAACACCTCGAGGAAAGGATGGAGGGCACTTGGGGGTGAAAATGGTTTGGAGCCCTGGACAGGGATAGGATGCAGCCAGGGGATCCAGGGGGAGAGAGAAGCAGCTCCCATGAACTGCCCGGCCTTGGCACCTCCAGAGTGAGGTGCTCTCACTGAGGATTTGGCCTCCTGAATGGGCAGGAGCCACTGAGTTCCCAGTAAAAGTATGGGATGCAAAACAGCAGGATTGGCAGCTCAGCACATCCTGCCAGCACTGGATGAGCTGCAAGAGAAAAACGTTTTAGACTGACCCTGGTGGTATCCCCCTCTCCTGCAGCCAGGGAAAATCAGCTGGGGCAGGGGGGATTTCCACTGGGAATGTCTGGATTTCCCAAATCCACTCTCCCACAGCAGGACTCGCCAGGGCTGTTACACAATGCCACCAGCAAGCAGGGAGATCCCTGTTCAGGGAGTGTCATTCCTTGCTAAAAAAAAAAAAAAAAAACAAACTGGGAAGTGAGACCCAAAGGGTTTGGGATAGGATTTGGGCTAAATCCGTGGCAGGGTCTCATGGAGGGAACATGCAAACCATCCAGAGGGATGAAGCTCCATGGGAAGCACTGCCTGGCACCCACCAAGGCTCAGCACCCACCACCCAGGCTGGGAGCTGGCTCCCACCATCCAGGGAGGAGGGAAGGAGAGGGTGGGAGATGGGGGAAGCTGCCAGACATTTCCTCTTAGAGCCAGAGCAAGAAGTGGTTCCAGCCCATTTCCTCCAGTGCTGACCCCCAAACCAGTGCCCTCCTCTTCCTCCTCTCTCCCAGGCCAGGAGCACACAGCCCATCTGGGATGGCAGCAGGGGGAAAACGCAGCGTGGCCATGGTGTGCCAGCACCACAGGGGACAGGTCTGTCACCAGAATGCCCATCTGTGCCCTCTATCACATCCACACTGTCCTGTCTATGCCCACTGACTTCCTTTTCTAACCTTACCCACCATCCTGCTGCTGCTCTTGGTCCCTTCCTTCCTTCTTTATCCCTCCAGCCCTGAGAAACCCCATTTGCCAGCTTGAAACCACAGCTGCACGCTCCAGCAGTGAGCCTGGAGCATCTTCCCCATTCCTTCCTCCCATCTGAGCTCCCTGAGATGAAGGAAACTGAGGCACCACAGCCCCAGGAGGTCCCCAGAAAGTCCAAGCTCTTCCTCACAGGTTTTAACCACCAAGGATTGAGGCTTTCCACCCACGAGGGCCATTCCCTGCCCAGTGCTGACATCACAGGGAACACGAGTGGGAGTTTCAAGGAAAAGGCAGCTCTTGCTAAATCCCATGGACAGGAAAACACAACCAAGCACCTCCACACTTGGCTGTGCCTTGGGTGTTTCAGGGAAAGGGTTGCAAAGCCACTGGCAAAACTGTGAGGTGATGGAAAAGCAGCTTCAAAGGGAAAGGGAGGAAATTGTGGTGTCCATTGAGCCCAGTCTGGATTTTGGGAGCAGGAGGAATAACTGGGATGGAGGGAAGGCACAACAAACCCCACACCAGGGGCTGTGCTGGGCTGTGGCCAGAGCCTGGGAAAGGCTGGGGAGAGCTGGCCCAGCCAGGGGAAGCCCCACAGGGAATCTCCAGCACTGAGGGTGTTTTGTAACCTCTTGGAGCATTTTCCACCCTCCTCCTTGCGTTTCTGCAAGCTGGTGATAATGGGGCAGAGCCACATCCCTCATGTGACAGCACCCAGGGAAGGGAACTTGGGGCTGGCCTTTGGGCCAGTGTCACGTGCTGTCCCTGCTCCCTCCAAGAGGAGAGGAATCCCCTCCAAGAGCTCTGCAGGGCCAGAGGGGCCACAGGGTCCTGCTTGCCACGGGGCCACTGCTCCATGGCTGCAGTGGGTGGGGGGCTCCAGGGATGGCACCGAGCTTAGGGGTGACATGAGCTGTGACATCCCTTGTTCACATCTTGGTCAGGGTTACCCTTTCCTTGCAGAGGTGTCTGTGTCCCACGGGAAGTTTGGAACCCCAGGGATGGGTGAAGGAGCACAATCCAGAGTGGGAGGCTGGAGGCAGCTGGAGAGCCAGGTGGGAGCTGTGATTTTAAAAGCCTTTTCCTTTGCTTTTTCAGGTCTTTCCCTTTGCCTTTCAAGGCCTTTCCCTCTGCTTTCAAAGGCTTTCCAGGTCAAAAGTGCAGCTCTGATCTCGGCACTAAGTGTTCTCCCAGCTGCTGGAATCCAGCTCGGCTCTGCTCCATCCTCCCTCCCCTGCACGGGATGGGAACTTATCCAGCCTGAGCTTCTGCTCTCCCAAAACCTGCTGCTCCACCTCGTTCTGGGGAGGAAACAGGAGATTTCTGCACCCACACTTGCTCCTGCCTGTCACCTGCCTCTGAGAGCAGGGGACTCGCTGGCAGAGGGAGCCCTGGCAGATCCCAGCGTGCCCAGACATCCCCAAACTCCTCACCAGAGCCTTCCTCCCTCTCCGTGCTGCATTTCTGGGAATTGGCCCAGCTCCTTCCCGAGGTTCCCAAGGGACAAACTGCTCTCCCATCCCTCATGCTGTGTCCCAACTCAAGAAAACAAGTGCACTCAAGAAAAAAAGTTTAGGGTTTTCAAGTCCAGGGGGTTTTAAGAGCTTTTTTAAGTGCACTCGCATAATATCGAGGCACTTCTTATTTTTTTAATTTTCTTTTTTTTTGTCTTTGCACGCAAACCCCCAAATCCCCAGATGATAAATGACATCCCCAAATTCCAGCTGGGGCAAACAGCTGCATGCAAAGGAGCTTTGCCTGCTTGAAAACCCCTCTAAAATATATCCAAGGGGATCTCACCTCCTGGAGCAGGGTGCTCTCGTATTCCTGCAGCTGCTGCTGGAATCCGAAGTTGGGGCTGACGTAGGAGCGTGCAGCCTTGGTGGCAGCCAGGCAGCTCTCCCAGCCCAGCTCTGTCACTGTCATCAGGTAGGCCACCAGGATGGTGGTGCTGCGGGACACCCCAGCCAGGCTGGGATGGCCCCAGGAGCCACGTCAGGGAGAGGAGAATCCCACAGGAATCACCCATAGGATGCAGATTCCCTCCATTCCCTCGCTGGGGTGGGAGGGGTTAACCCTAATCCTCAAGCCTGTCTCACATTTTGGATGCTCAGGTGGTCAGGACCACCCATCCGTGGGAATGTTCCTTGAAAGTGATGAAATCTTTCCCAAAATGATTGTTCCTCCTTCTCTTCCCCTTCTTTCATCCCATCCCAAAAGCAAAGCTTGCTCTTAAATGAGCACCTGGATATTGGAAACGTGGGGTTTTCAGATGAGTTTTGATTCAGTTTTTGCAGAGGAAGGTTGGCATCAATTCCTTGTTACTTGGACCAGGGTTGCTCATTCCAGCCCAAGGCAAAGAGCTCTCACATGGGGAAGGACAGAAAATCACCAAAAGGTGAGAGTTGTTATTTAGCTTCCCAAAAATAAGGATGACTCCAAAGGTGAAGACCTTCCCATGGCCCTCCTTGCTGTTCTGTGCCTTCCTGCCCCTCCCCAGTGATGTTCAACACCAAGGATAATTTTTGGGAGCCCATCCCCAGCTCCCAGAGGACGGATGGGGTGTGAGGGGGTCACAGCAGCTCTCACCAGTGCACCAGGCATCCTCCCCCTCCGAGCCGGCACTCGTGGATGAACTGGATGCACTCCTTGAAATGCTGCAGCCTGCAGGGACAGAGGCAGCAGGTGAGGAGGGAAGGGCTGGCTGTCCCTGCAGGGCACCAGGACACCCTGCAAACAGCAGCAGTGTCACTCCCAAGCGTTTCCCACCACCCTGGGGCCACCAGCGTGGTGTGGGAGCAGAGATCCTTCCTGTGCCAGGTGAAGGAAATGACCTGGGAGACATCCCACGGGTTTTCTGCTTCCTGAGGGATCAAAGAGTGAGGGTGATGCCATCAGACAAATCAGCTCAGCCCTAAGGGAACAGCCTGCAGGGAAAGGGACACAAACTCTCCCAGTTATCCTGCAAAAACACCTGCCTCCCTCCTAGGGAAAGATGGAGAGATGCCAGCAGGGAAGAAGGAAGGGAGAAAAGGAAAGGGAGAAAAGGAAAGGGAGGAAGGGAAAGGAGGGAGGGAAAGGGAGAAGGGAAAAGGAGGGAGGGAAAGGGAGGAGAGATGGAGAGATGCCAGCAGGGAAGAAGAAAGGGAGAAAGGGAAAAGGAGGGAGGGAAAGAGAGGAAGGGAAAGGGAGAGAGGGAAAGGGAGGAGGAGACATTTTGCCCCCACCACAGGAAGGCACAGAGAGGTGTGCACAGCACAGGCATGTCCATGGATTGCTGCTGCATTGCCAAAAGCACAACCAGGAGCTGCTGGCAAAGCAGAGGGAGCACAGCTCCCTAAACCAGAGCACTTCACAGCAAAACAGGGAGCCAGGGCCTCCTGATGGAGACCTGGAAAACAGGATAACTGATTCCACGCGTACTGAGTGGACAGAGCTGGGTGTTCATGGCAGGCTCTGGTGAGACACATCCCCCTGGATGGGATTCCAGGAGCTGTTGGGCTGCTGAGATCCCACACTGAGCCAGATATTCCTCTCCTTCCCAATCAAACCTGCCCACCCCTTCAACCACACTGAGCCCTGGGGCAGTTTTGAGGCAGAAAACCTGCTTCTGGTAATTTGTGCTGCTGATGGGCTCCCTGGCCACCCAGCCCTGGGTTTTCCAGGAGGAGAAGAGGGTCCCTTTGGCAGCACCTCTGCTCCGGCCCCGGACTTCCTCTGCTCCGCGTGATGGGGTGGGCGTGAGCCCACGCAGCCTTCCTGATTTCTCAGAAGCCAAGGCATGACCTCCCACAGTTATTCCCACTGTGTCCTTTGCCAAAGGAGCTGGCTTCTCTCGGGGAATTCTCCAAAATCTCCTCCATCCCTTGCTAACCCATGGAAAAGGGTGTTCTTCACCCTGCCCTGGGAGCGCTGGGCTCAGCACCTTCTGAGGAGCCAGAGAAAGGTGAATTTATTCAGGAATAGCAGGGGGTTCTGCTGAGCAGCAGCAGGAGGAGAGGTGAGGGAATCTCTGATGTCGTGATCAGGCTAAAAATGCTGAGCTTCTCATTCCTGGAAGGAGATGTCAGTCCAAGGATCCACCAGCAAACAGAGCATCACCATTTGGGAGGATTTCCCCCGCCCTTATCTTGTCCCAGGGGATTTCCCTGCTTGTCCTGTTGATATTCACAGAGCAGAAACATCCCCCAGGGCCCGCAGGTGCTGCCCACACAGCTCCAAACCCTGCAGATCCCAGTGCTCCCCTCCAGCCCCTCGGCAGGACCAGCAGGAACGTTCTTTGCTTGCAAAGACACGGTGCTCGTGCCTCCAGCCTGCATCCCTGTCCCAACCCATCCCGAAGGAATTTGGTTCCCCCATCCATCCTCACCCACTCCACGGGTGTTTTTCCCAGAGGGAAAGCTCTGCCTGTGCTTTTCCAGCCTCAAAGCGTGGGATCAGGGAGTGGGATTGCAGAGCCACTCAGCTCCCGAATCACAAGCAGGACACAAAGTTCACCAGGATTGTGAAATACGAGGCATAAACTGACAAGCAGAAAATAGTTTCTTGAATAACTCTTCCTTCCTGCAGGCAGCCTTATCTTATTTTTTTCTCTCTCTCTCTCTTTTTTTTTTTTTTCCCCTTTCGTAAACACGCCACAAAAGCAAAGAAATGAGCGAAAGGGAAAAAAATAGCAACCAAAAATCCCAGTTCTTGCTGAGGCAGGGTTTTCTTGTAAAGCTTCTCTTTCCGCTCAGTGGGAGCATGAGCAAGCAGAATTCCACCCCCGGGCACGGCTGTTCCCAAGGATGCTGGAAAAACCAGCACCTCCACAGGAAGGGCCATGGAAATTAGATTTTGATGCATTTTTAGGGTTTGATTGGAGAGAAAAATCCCGTGGATTTGCCAATTTGCTGGTGCAAATGGATGATTTATAGGTGCCCATCACCCAAAGCAGCAGCATCTCACAAAATCCTGGGAATTCCTCCCAGCTCCCCTCAGCAGCTTCATCTCCAAAACAGCATTCCAAGACTTATGAGCATCTGTGTTTTATATGGTGAAAAAAAAATTGTATTTTAATAAATTTATGGGGAAAAAATTGTATTTTAGCAAATTTCTCTTTCAAAAAAAAAAAAAAAAAAAAAAAAGCCTGGAAGACCAACACAAATCATCTTTCTAACACTCCAATTTTCAGTCCTGCCCAATGGAATAATTCTGAAACTTGATGAAGAATTACATTTTTTGACTGCAAATACACATTAAAAATAGATGTTAAGCCCTAAAATGTTATTTAGCACACAAAAAATGAACTTCAGCTTCTGGGAAGCTCAGGGATTATGTGAAATTTCACAGAATGGGTGGACTGAACCTTCAACCCACAGAACCTGAGCTTTTATGGACCAACAGCTGCCAACAGGAAAAAGGATGGGAAATCACTTACAGGTTTTGACTGGATGAATCTGAGGCCGAGATACACAGATAGGTCATGTCCTGCAATACAAAATAAAATAGTCTTGAAATACCTCCAAGAATCACAAAATCCTCCATTTTTCTCTTTTTTTTTTTTTTTTTTTCCTTTCTCGGTTGATCTCAAGGGGAGCAGAAAGCTGAGAACCACTTTGGGGTTTGCCCCGCTGCAATGGAGGGGTGCATCCATCCCACCCCAGGCGATTTCCTCTCAATCCTACAGGACAGGACAGGCTATGGGGACAACTGAAATATTCAGGAGACTCCAAAACAGAGCCAGGGAGCCCCAGACTCCACCAGGAAGACGTGCACTGACAAAGCCACTCTCATCAATGAGTTATTTCCTCCTCATCCTTTTAATACCCCATAAATCATCTGCTGCCTGCTGGCCTAGGTCAGATTACTTTCCTCTCCTTAAAACATCGCTTCCTCGATCCTCCCTGTTCAGAGCTAAATTTAGATCCTTTTTATCTGGGGGTTGGGTTTTATTTTTTAATCCTTTCTTAGCAAAACGGGGGGGGGGGGGGGGGGGGGGGGGGGGGGGGGGGGGGGGGGGGGGGGGGGGAAATCCTGCAGCCAGAGCTCCAGGGATTGCCCCATCTCCATCAAGTCCCTCCTGGCTCAGGCAGCCCAACCCCCTGGACCACCCTCCAGCCCAGGAGGCTGGAAAAAGTGGATTATTTAAAGAAGGAAAGGGCAGGGCAGGATGGAAACAGGGATAATTCCATGCTGGAATGCCCCATGTTGGAAGGATGAGCACGGACAGGCTTTCCACACATCACCTCACCCACGGCACCACGCCTGCTGCCATCCCAATATCTCCCCACACTGGCAAGAGCCACCAGGCCATCAAATCCACGCTGGAGAAGCCAAAACGACCTCAACTCACCCCAAAACCCAACCCACACCTCCCAGCCTCGGATTCACCCCGTGGCTCCCCATGGGGCCGGGTGTCCCCATCCCAGGGCCACGCATGGGAGCGGTGCCGGGGTTTGCGGTCACGGCTGGGGGCCGTGATTGACACATTGCTCAACCCCCCTGCGCCTTCCCACTTCCCCTTTGCGTGGCTTTGCTCCGTGTTGTAAGGGCTCCATGAGCTCCAGTCCCCATTGGAAATGCTCTGTGAGCTTTGCTCCGTGTCGTAAGGGCTCTGTTCCACGTTGTAAGCGTTCCATGCGCTTTGCTCCATGTCATAAGTGCTCTGTGTGTTTTGCTCCCTGTTGCTCTCCATTGTAAGTGCTCCATGCGCTCCCTGTTGTAAGCTCTCTGTGTGCGTTGCTCCCCATTGTAAGCGTTCCATGCACTTTACTCCATGTTGTAAGGGCTCCATGAGCTTCAGTCCCCATTGGAAGTGCTCCGTGTGCTTTGCTCCGAGTTGTAAGCACCCCGTGTGCTTTGCTCCATGTTGGAAGCGCTCCATGTGCTTTGCTCCATGTTGGAAGCGCTATGTGTGTTCTGCTCCCCATTGTAGGCACCCTGTACACTTTGCTCCCTGTTGGAAGCGCTCTGCACATTCTGCTCTCCATTCTAAATGCTCCATGCGCTCTGCTCCCTGTTGTAAGCTCTCCGTGTGCTTTACTCCACGTTGTAAGCGCTCCATGTGCTTTGCTCCCTGTTGGAAGCGCTCTGTGTGCTTTGCTCTGTGTTGGAAACACTCCGTGCGCTTTGCTCCCCATTGTAAGCGCTCTGCACGCTTTGCTCCGTGTTGGAATCGCTCCACACGCTCTGCTCCCGGTTGTAAGTGCTCCGTGTGCTTTGCTCCCTGACTTGAGCGCTCCGTGCGCTTTGCTCCCCTGGCCCAGCCCCGTGCTCGCCAGCCCAGCTGCTGCCTCGACCCCAGCCCCGAGCAGTTTGTCCTTCCCTGTGGCTCTGTCCCTTTGTCCTTCCCTGTGGCTCTGTCCCATTCCCGTTACTCAACGCCTCAGCAGGGGAAAGGCTTCTCCTGGGCTTTTGTTGGGGTTCCCTCCCCATGGTGGCCTCAAAAAGGATGAGGGGTCCTGGTGGTCCCCTTCCCTTTCTGCAGCACCCCAACATTGGGGTGAAGGACCCTCAGCACAAGAAGGATGTGGAGAGAGTCCAGAGGAGCCAGGGAAATGCTCCAAAGGCTGGAGCCCCTCTGCTCTGGAGCCAGGCTGGGAGAGCTAGAGAGGAGAAGGATCCAGGGAGAGCTCAGAGCCCCTTCCAGAGCCTAAAGGGGCTCCAGGAGAGCTGGAGAGGGGCTGGGGACAAGGGATGGAGGGACAAGATATAGGTAATGTCTTCCCAGTGCCAGAGGGCAGGGATGGAAGGAATATTGGGAAGAGAAGATTGGATGGGATATTGCCCAGAGAAGCTGTGGCTGCCCCTGGATCCCTGGAAATTTCCAACGCCAGGCTGGACACTGGGGCTCGGAGCACCCTGGGACAGTGGGAGGTGTCCCTGCTCCCATCAGGTATCCAGCACCCCACGGCCATGCCCCTCACTCCTCGCACATCCCGGGAGCCGAACCTGCAGCTGCTCCTGGCGCTTGGAACCATCCGGGCAGGATTTGTGCACCAGCGACTCTGCCATCATCCCGGGGCCAGCTCCCTCCTGCCTCAGTTTCCCCACGCAGGATCCCGCAGTCCTCCGGGGATCAGCGAGGCCGGAGAAGCGGGGACACCGAGCAGGCAGTGCCAGCTCCGGCAGCGGGTCCCGCTGTGTCCCCTCCCAGCCGGGGCTCCATTCGCGGGGCGCCGCCGCCCTCTCGTGGGGACCCCCCGGCAGCACCGGGCACCGGCCCCGCAGCGCCTGCCCCCCAAAAACCACCGAGTGATGCCCCAAACACCCCACTGCCCCCTCCCCAAATCCATGGCTGAGCCCCTTTGGGCAGCATTGCCTGGTGTCAATTGGTGCAGATCGGTGTAAATTGGGGTAAATCGGTGTAAATCCAGCATGGCTTCTCCCCAGGTCAGGAGAAGCTCCTGGGTGTCCCTTCCCAGCTCCTGCTGCCCTGGGTGGTCCCCAGGCCCCCCACCCAGGCACGCACCTCCAGCACAGGTTTGGCATGGTTGTGGACAGACAGGATGTGGGTCACCCCTTTCCTCAGCAGGTTCTCATGATCCTCAGAGTCTGGAAATGGGAGCCAAGTGGGAATTACATGCCCTGCTGGCACCCACTGGTCCCCCGACACCCATCACCCCCCAGCCCGACCCCATTCCAGCCTTTCCCTCTGCCTCTCATCCCACAGGGTGCAGGGAAGGAGATAGGACACCTCCTTCCAAGCAAAATCTCTCTTGGATGCATTGAGTACTCAGCAGGTTCCTAAAGCCATCCCCCAAATCAGAAATTACCCTGATAACTCAGAAAAGGCTGTTGTGTCCTTGCTGTTGAGGAGGTTTCCAGATATGCCATGAATTTCCTGGTGTTCCAGCATGGCTGCTGACCACAGCTCCCAGTGGACATCCCTTACCTGGGCTAGACTGGGATCACTGGCAATTGGGATGGGGATTTTGGACAGCTCTAGAAGATGCTGAGATTCCCAATTAGGAGCACATGGAGCTGCCAAGGAGAGGAATCCTCCAACCCTGCCAGCTGCCCAAGGATCCCACAGCACCACGGAGGGGCAGGGAAAACACTTACCACGAATATTCCCGAGGTAGAGGCCGGTGACAATCTGGGAGGTGACAAAAAGGAGAGGGAATTCAGATGGCACGAGGAACAAGGTACACCTGATGTAGTGGGCCTGAGCTCCAGGTCTGGCTCCAGCAGGACCAGGACACCTGGCACCAAACTCCCCAGTCCATGCCAAACCAATCACCCAAATCCATGGATCACCTTCATAAACAACCAGGAAAAGCTGAGCCCAAATCCCTCGGGAGAGCAGAGCTCAGAAAAACTCAGCACAGAAATGGGAGGAGTTTGGATGTGATCCTCTGGAGTTTCAAAGGTTGGCTCTACCAGCTGGGGATGGATGGACACTATTTATAGCAGGATTTATGTTTATTGCAGTTAAGAGACGTCAGGGCTGCAAATTCGGTCTCCAACTCGCTGCTGCAGGGTTATGAAGGAGAAAAGGGACAGCTCAGAGTGTTTAAGGGGTGTAAGGACCCACCAGAGCATTTCCAGAGGCACAGAAAGAGAGCTGATTATCAGCTGGACTTGCTGGTGCCCATCTGGCAGAAGAGCCCTGCTTGGAGGAGTTTTAGTCTATTCAACAGCACTGGGTGACATCCAGCTGAACCCCAGCCCGTTCCTGGGCGCAAACACCTGGATTCAGCACAGCACACACTGTGAAGGGGAATGCAGAGCCCTGCATCTTATGGAGTCCAAAACGGGATCCTACAAAAGTGTCTGCACCAATCCAGCCCTTGGCAACAACAGCCTGGGCTCCCCAAAAGGGTTTGGGGGCACTGTGGGGCTGTAAAAGTCACTTTGCCTGTCAGGCTGAGTTCACAGGGGGTGAATCCTCGGTGTTAAACCACATCAGAGCCATGCAGAGGGAGTTTGCCCTGATCTAATCTCTCTGTTGTTGTCCTAGAGTCTAATTTTAAACTGGAGAACTCAGATTCCAAGTGGTTATTTAAGGACACCAACAGAAATTGATCCCCTCCTCCAGCCCTGGAGGAAAGAGCAGCACTGAAATCACACTTCCCCCATTGCTGGGGCACATCCCGAGGGTGGAAAGGGGGTGTGCAGGAACCCCTGTTATCCCTGAGGATGAAAATGCCAAGATTTTACCACCCCAGGGATGAGCATTTAATGCCAGCTGTCACTTTTCTGACACCTGCAGACACTGAGCTCTTCACCTCGGAGCTAAACCTCGGATTTAAATAAATCCCTGTTTGTTTTCTTAATTCTCTTGAAGTGCTTGGGATTCCAAAGGGGTGTGGGAAAGGGGAATGCAGATGGTTGTTTTTAGGGACCTGGGAAGTGCATCCATGAGCTCCAGAAGAAGAGGACATGCTGGCCACCATCCCACTGTCCCCCTGTACCTTGCTCATTCCACTCCCCATAGATTTTTCTCTCCCCAGGATCAGGATTCGAATGGTTGATCAGTCTCCAAAGCTACCTGCAAATAAACACCCAAAATTCCCAGGGAGGGTGGTGAGATCTGACCCCCTCCAAGAGCAGGAGGAAGGGAAATCTGCCAGGAGGGGAGCAAGCAGAGCCCTGGCAAACTCAGCTCACCTGCAGGCTGTTCTGGAGGGTCCTGCTGCTGCTCGGGAGGGAAAGGGAGCAGAGAGTGGCTGGTGCCAGGAAGGGGAGGATGAAATAAGGATCTGGGATCATAGCAAGGCTCAGGTTTCTCTCCTGGCCTCCCTGGGGTTCCACAGCCTTTTGGGAAGAACAGTCCTGGGAGGAACAACTCCCTTATCCCAGCAGCACTGGAACTCCAGCATTTGCTCCAAAACACCAATTTTCCAGGAACAAACCCCTGGCAGCTCCATGTCCCTCACCCAGGTCGGTGTCACCAGGAAGCGTGCAAAGAGCAGGGAAAAGCAGAATTCCAGCCATCAGCAGCCTGGGATTGCCACCCTTATCCCTCTCAGCACCCCAGAGATAAATTTATCACTTAAGGGATTTTTCACGTGTAGGAAGGGGAGCTCATTGCTTAATTCCCACCGAATTACCTCATCTTAAAAACCTTCCCAAATTTCTGAGTGGAAGGGAAAGAGGGGCCAGCAATTGGCTGAGACCCCAGGGCAGCTCCTAAACCACAACATCAAGTTTCCTGATGGTTTCCTGTCCCATCAGGAAAACAGTAAACATAAGACCAAGCTTGGTTTAGTCTTCAGAGGGGCAAGGATCAGAGGGACCAAAGATCTTGGGAATAAAAGCCATGGATGTCCACATGTGGGCACACAAGGAGCTCCATCATAATTAAGAAAAGTCCTTTATGGATCAGCTCTGTTCACAGAGACACTGGGAAAAACAGGGATTTAGAGCTGTTCTAGGCATGGAACAAACACCTGCAGAGTCCAGGAGACACCAGCTCAGCTGAAGGGAGGAATCTGGCAGCAGCTTTCTTAGCCCTGAAAATATTAAGCCAGGAAGCAAATCCTGTTCAGGAACCCAATGTCCCACCCCAAAAAACCAATCCAGACACCAGCAACAGGCACCTCTCAAGTTAACCAGACATTTATTAGCATTTCTGGAGGTGGAGAGGGTGTTCCAGTACAACAAGCAACGAGGTCACACACAGGTGATGGAATCATTTCATATTCAAGCAGAGCAGGTTTCCACTGAGTTGCTTTATTTCTTCCATTCGTTCTTGTCAAAATCCCACTGGGCTGAGATGCCCTCCACGGGGTTAACCCTCATGTCCAACATCCTCTTGGTCTGAGCTGACACCCACTCATCGGAGAAGGTGTGAGGGATGGGGCCGTACACTGCAGGATGGGAAGGCAATGATGCAATTCTGTCCTCATGCCACGTCAGCAAGGTGGGAATTTTGGGCTAAGGTTCACTAATAAAAGGGTTTTTTACCCCCCCTGAAGTCATCCCACTGGAGCAGGTTGCCCAGAGAAGCTGTGGCTACCCTATCCCTGGGAGTGTCCAAGGCCAGGTTGGACAGGGCTTGGAGAAACCTGGGATAGTGGGAAGTGCCCCTGTCCATGGATGGAGGTGAAATGGGATAATCTTCACGATCCCTTCCAACCCAAACCAGCCTGTGATTCTGTGATCTGTTCCCATCTCCACTCCCTGCCTTCAGCTTCTGCAGCATCCAGCTCAGACCACACTCCCACATGGATTTTCCAGTGGTTTCCTTCATCACCAAGATAACAGCTTCCTGCTTTCCTATTTTTGGGAGCCTCAAGGCAGGGAGCAGCTCCTTTAACTGCTGCTCTGCCTCTCGGCAGCTGGAGGCTCCCTGGAGCTCAGATCCTTAGCTGGGAATGCAGCCAAACATGGCAGCAACCCAAATGTTCACTACCAAGGCAGCAGAAAGAGGGGAAGCTCTGGGATCAGGAATCTCACCACTCATTCCCTTCCATTTCCTGTCCTCCCAAAGCTCCACTCCCTTTCTGTGAGTCAGCTTCCTGAATATTTCTGCTACATCCCCACAAGCTACAAGTCCACGATGGAGTTTTCAGGGACTGACAGACAGCTCCTGCTGGAAGTCCCTGTTCTGGTTGTTCCATAAACCACTCCACCCCACAGAATTCCCATCAGGCATCTCCTGATCCCACTCTCCACGGAACAGTTACTTACTGAAGTGCTTCTGCCAGATAAGGATGAGTCCAGTGAAACCAAGGAAGAACAAAACTCCCCCCAGGACGGTTTTCCACTCGTTTGTCCCTTTGTTCATCTCTGCGTAGGTCTCGTTGAATTTCATGCGATATACTGGGGGAAAAAAAGCATCAAATCCTCTCTTTTAACTTTTCCTGAGATTTGCAGGTGACCAGAACTCTGCAGAGGAAGGTGAACAAAGCCTGAGGCTGCCCAAAAGGGGATGGATGTTAAATGAGGTTTGGCACACACCAAAGCCAATCAGTTGTTTCACCTCCACATCCATTTTAGTCTCCATTTTACAGATTATCCTAGAGTTGGGCACAAGTTATGGTATGGACCTGAAAGAAGAAAAGCTGGAGTTCTCCTTCCTCCCCTCCAATTCCCAGTGTTGTTATTGACCCCAAAGATTCCTAGCACAAATAATTCCAGCAGGAATGCTTTGAGCTCAAAAGGCTTCTCAGCTGACACTGAAATCCACAGGAATTTAAAATCCAAAGCAACAGAAAATCTGGAGCGCTCAGGAACTTCTGAGCAACTCCCCACAAAGTTTTAAACCTTCCCCAGACCAGGTTCTCCCTTCATATCACAAGAGGAATTAGAAAAGATGTGGCACATTTATTTGCAAGTCAAAACACCCACGAGGAGCTTTCATTAGCTGGAATTTGGTTCATGCCAAGGTCAGTGGTTATTAACATTCAAATCCACGTTTGTGTTTGGGGCTCGCTTCACTCAGCTGGACTAACAATGGTATGTTGTTGTATTGAACAGATTTTTTTTTCTGGCTTGTTGAAAGCAGATGGGAATCAAGAAATAAATCTAATTATTATTATTTGGTTTGTGGAAGAGGAAGGAATGGCTGAATGTGACCTCAGATATAGAACAGAAGCCACAGCAGGGCCACTTCATGTTCTGTAACAACACCAAAGATCTTGGGAATAAAAACCATGGAGCACACAAGGAGCTCCATCATAATTAAGAAAAATCCTTCATGGATCAGCTCTGCTCACAGACACTGGGTAAAAAAAGGATTTAGAGCTGTTCTAAGCATGGCCATGGAACAAAAAGCTGGAGTGACAGGACAAGGGGAATGGCTTTGAGCTGAGTGGGTTTAGATGGGATATTGGGAAGGAATTGTTCCCTGTGAGGGTGGGGAGACCCTGGCACAGGGTGCTCAGAGAAGCTGTGGCTGCTCCTGGATCCCTGGAAGTGCCCAAGACCAGGTTGGACAGATGATCTTCCCTTCCCACCCAACCCATTTCACACCACTGAACATGGAAACCGTGCTGTTGCTGGATCCCTGGGAGCCCCCAAAACCTACATTCCACTTTCTCATCCACGGACAGGGCGCTCCATGATGCCTTCTCCTTCTCCTTGAGCGCCTTCTGCTGTGCAGAGAGGTCCCTCACAAAGGCCACCTCGGGCAGGGGCACGTCCCGCCGGTCCACGTAGGCTGGCAGGGTGTAATCCTCAGCCTTGACCACGCCAGCTGAGGGGACACAGGGACACTGGTCAAGGGCCTGCACAAACAGCTCTGGCTGCTGACAGCACAAAACCCGACAGTGCAAAAGTGCAGGAATGCAGGGGGTGAGGATTTTAGAATAAATCCTGTTCTAATGGCAGAAAAATGGAATTACAGAACGGTTTGGGATGGATTGGGAAAGACCTTAAAGCTCATCCCGTTCCCAGGGACAGCTCCCACTATCCCAGCACTCCAAGCCTTGTCCAGCCTGGCCTAGGACACTGCCAGGGATCCAGGGGCTGTTGAGGGAGCTCAGCTGGAGAAAAGGAGGCTCAGGGGGAATTTCTGGCTCTGCACAACTCCCTGACAGGAGGGGACAGCCCCAGGTCGGGCTCTGCTCCCAGGGAACAGGGACAGGAGCAGAGGGAATGGCCTCAGGCTGGGCCAGGGGAGGCTCAGGGTGGACATCAGCAGGAATTTCCCCATGGAAAGGATACTCAGGAATTGGAAGTGCTCAGGGAGGTTTGGAGTGCCCATCCCTGGAGGTGTCCCAGCCATTCCTGGATGTGGCACTGAGTGCTCTGGGCTGGGGACAAGGTGGGGATTTGGCACAGGTTGGACTTGGTGACCTTGGAGCTCTTCTCCCACCTGAATGATTCCATGATTGTGATTCCTGCCACCTCCCCAAGCTCCCTCCATCCCAACCCTCCCCTCACCCACACCCCACGTAGAGCAGCTTTTTGTGTTCCTCCCCTCCAGGCCCTGTTTTATTTCCTCCTTGCCTCCCCAGCAGCTGGGACTCACCGTGTCCGTGTGCCCTGAGGCACAGGGAGGTGGAGATGGATCTCCTCCCGACCAGACTGAACACTCTGGAAGCCAACATCCTGCAGGGGCAGACTGCAACAGTCAGTGCCCAAGGTGAAATAAGAACACTTTCCACGAGTTTATATATATAAAAAAATATACAGTCTAAAGATTTGCTGCTCTTTCTCCAAAGGGCAGCACATCACTCCATGCTGAATAAGATATTTATTGGGATATTCTCCCACTGAACTGACTTGGATGAGCTCTTCTCTCCCTGTTTTTAACTCGAGCCTCCTGCATCCGAAGCAAAGGACATTCTATTATTTAAGTCACTCTTCCAGAATGCGGTAATTCCAAAATAAACCATTCCTGGGCAGATTCCAGGAGCCCCAAGCGAGCACATCCCGAGCACACCCCACAGCCACTGCAGCGACCCCTCAGCAAGGGCACGTCCCAGGGAATGGATTCCCACCCACACGGGATCCGAGCTCCTCCGCTGACCCCATCTTAGCCCAA